CCCCCCCCCCCCCACACCCACACAGCTTGTATTTGGGCCCGACGTTAGTGGACAATACGACAGTAGCCAGACTGGCGCCTCTCTATACTTGTATGTAAACACTTCACGACTCTCCTTTGCGATGAATGCAAATTTGCAGGTGTGCTTAAACTCAGAGGTTCTCCGTTACTGGAATACTCAAATCTATAACCACAGTCGAACGACCCCCCTCCCCCCTCCTCCTTAACCTTTATCCTTAAACTGAAACCCTACCTTTAATGTTCAAGATGAAATATGTTCTTAAAACACGGCTTGACGAATCTTACGCTGCCCGTGGAAGAATCTCAAAAGAGCCCTAAGGTATCATCGGTTACAGTTTGAGACACGCTGCCTTTCAGGTAAGGGCAAGCGAGAAGTCGAAGGTGACGAATTTTAATGCAATTTATCAGACCAGTTAAGGCGGCCCCTTTGAAGTAGTTGATGATTGACAGGTCGCGAGTAGTGTGGGACCGTCTCAGCGGCGCCGGTAACTCGGAAACAACACACCGAAATGTATGAGTGACGTCACACGGCCGGCGCCAGTCTGTCTGGGCTAACTGTTGGGCCGAGTTCCCCCCAAGCGCAATTTACCACGTGTCAAAGCCGATTTCGCACGCTACGTAAAAATCTCCTAAACACAGGTGCGAGCTAGATGTGTTAGGACTTGAAAAACAGAGGGGGCAAGAATGAGAATGGTTTAATGTTTCAGATTTTATTTTAAAACACGTGTTAAGCATTTTCAATAAAACCAAATACATGTTTTAAAAAACATAACATTTCGAGAATAACTGAATGAGGATGTTTATTAGAAAAACACCAAACCCCAATAATTTGATGGTATAAATATCGTGGGAAACTACGCTACACTGAGCACGGACGACTTGACACGAGAGGTGGGGCTTCGCGTCGTTGAAATCTTAAAGCTCGCGTTTCCATTGGTCGTCATGCGTTGCACCGCCAATCGCGCTGCTCGCGTGGAAGGCGGAGCCAATCGATACCAAACGACGCGTGTGGGAATTTCTCCAGCTCGGAACGTAAATAAACGGATCTCATGAAACCAGGCAGTCGCAGTCGATGTAAGAGTACATGTGAGTTAACATACGGCGTTCTGTGACCGGTTGTTATTGATCGTACATCTCGTATCGATTGTAATCGTTAATATTCACGTGGGATTAAAAGATATTTCTGGAACAGGATTAATAGCAGTGAGGTTCCCAGACTTCACGAATATTGTTAGCCATCTAGGCACTCTACTAGTACCGTGTGTGTGTGAGTGAACTGTGTCTGGCAGGCATAGATTTTCTCATCCTAACATCTTCCCGGGCAGTGCCATTCGCAAATCGATTTTTGTCCTCGTCATCTGGCAAAAGTTAGGCTCTAGTGCACGTTGCCAGCACTCAGCAGGCAGTCGGCAGAGATCAATCAATAGGGAGACCGCGAGCATGAAGGCAGTAGCGACAGAACGGCCGAGGTCTTGCAGCATTCTCGGGGTTAAGAAAGATTCCAACTGCAGCATCATGAAGACCGCTAGCATCGAATTTCGTGGAGAGAAATTCACTTTGAGTGATGAGATGAAGGTATGTTTTGTCTGTAGCTGTCTGTTTAATAAAAGCATATTAAACATCCATTGGCATGTAGGCCAATATATACTATTATTTATATTTAGAATATATAATATAATGCGATCCAATATACAAATAGTTTTATAATTATACGCCTTGCCTATTATTACTACTCTACCGTTGATTAGTTAAGATCTGACATTTTTAAGGCCCAGAGACTAGACATAGTTTTTGTTACATCCATTGCAACTCTCAGTGCATGTGATTGTCGGATTGGTGTTGCGTAATTCAGATAGCCGCCTGCACAATAAGCATGGCATACTCTAAAAATAAACCCCAAAGGTCTTTTACCTTTAGACTTGGAGGTGGAGGCCTACAACTATTTGTATCATCATATCAGTTACGCCCCACTATTTCTATACAATATGATATAGTATGTCATAGTCATATGTTGAAAAAATGCCTACATCTGCCGTCTTAGACTGAAAGACAGTGACACAGGCTATATTGAAAAATTACTGAAAAAATGTCTCTGTCCTATTTCATGGACTAAAAGGCCTAGGTCCTGTCCTATTTCATAGACTAAAAGGCCTAGGCCCTGTCCTATTTCATAGACTAAAAGGCCTAGGCCCTATCCTATTTCATAGACTAATTTTAAGAATGATGCCCCTGAATATGGACATCGTGTTGGGTTCCAAATGCTTAAGAACCTGGCGTAGCTAATCACCTCCAGTTATGCTGTTTATCAGTGTCATCCTCCATCCTGTAGAGACGTACATAAATGAACTCCATTTTTTACTCCATTACTAATGAGATTTAAATTACTTAAGCAATGGCATTAAAAATGATGTAAACCAGCGCTTCTCAGCCTGTTGGTCGCGACCCCTTTGGGGGTCGAACGACCCTTACACAGGGGTCGCCTAAGACCGTCGGAAAAAAAAAACCCATACTTATGAAGTAGCAACGAAAGTAATTTAATGGTGGGGGTCACAACTTAAGGAACTGTATACCTGTATTTATACATGCTATTATTGTACATGAGACATGGTGTGTGCGAGCCTTCGAGCCACATCGATGCTATTAATTGTCCCTTTTCTATTCAATGTATGCTGAGGCTGATTGTAACTTGTAATGGTTTTTTTTTTATGACAGGAGTGTTTCCTCAAACTGAGTGACATGGTACCCGACGTGCCACGGAATGAGTCTGGCAACATCGATGGGACCGTCCTCATGCAGTACGTCATTGATTATATCCTCGACCTGGAACTTCAGTTGGACGGTCAAGGTCATTTTTCACCGGCGGCAGCGTTTTCTGCCTCCTTCCCCTCGAAATTCGTGTCGGAGACATCCTCGAGGGAACCCTTATCGGAAAAATGTTTAGACAATATCGTCTCCACACACTACGATCTGCAGGTACAGTGTTACCCTCCTTGATATAGTCTGTCCATCTCCTTTTGCAGGATATCTCTCACTTTCAGATAATTACTTTAAATAATTCTTTAATTTTAAATTCAATTTATTTCTATTGTAAAATAATATTATCTACCGTCATTGTTTTACTTTGTTTGGCATGGGCCTTTTTTATTTTTATGGTAATCCTTCCAATCCATAATCATCTGGTCCATCTTCCTGAGCTTGGCCATAACCAACTTCCTGAGCTTGGCCATAACCAACTTCCTGAGCTTGGCCATAACCAACTTCCTGAGCTTGGCCATAACCAACTTCCTGAGCTTGGCCATAACCAACTTCCTGACTTGGCCATAACCACTTCCTGAGCTTGGCCATAACCATCTTCCTGAGCTTTAGCCATAACCATCTTCCTGAGCTTTGGCCATAACCAACTTCCTGAGCTTGGCCATAACCAACTTCCTGAGCTTGGCCATAACCATCTTCCTGAGCTTTGGCCATAACCAACTTCCTGAGCTTGGCCATAACCAACTTCCTGAGCTTGGCCATAACCAACTTCCTGAGCTTGGCCATAACCATCTTCCTGAGCTTTGGCCATAACCAACTTCCTGAGCTTGGCCATAACCATCTACCTAAGCCTAGCTTCTGAATTTCTTGATCAATCAGTTTTGCGTGAAATAAACTTGAACCCCTTTCTGCAGTCGTACCTTCTCTTAAAATATGTCAATTGTCTTAAAATAATGTGCACTCCTCAGTATATATTAATAAACCCCTAACTATGCAGGTGCTCTTAGCAAGGGCTTGCTGGAAGACCCAGGACATCAGATTTGTTTCATTTTATTGGCACTTCGAATCCTGAGGGTTGCAGGAAATGTTTCAAAATAAATGGGGGTGGTACACGGCAAAAAGGTTAAGACCATGCTATGTATCATCATTAATTATTTGATTTCTTATGAGCTGTAGGTGAACATTAACAGATAAATCTGGTTTTAAATTGAAAGAAAATGAAATCCGGCGTAAATTTAGATATGCTTTGAACTTAACACTTCAGAACGGTCCACTTAAATGCTGGACAGATGAAATATCTTTTAATCTTGACATCACTGACAAAGTGTCTCTATCTGACATTATTATTGACAAAATGTCTCTTGTTTTTTATTCTGTAGGTGGCGGCATCCTCACTAACAGATGATTTGCTATCAGCAACAACAGATTGTGAAATTAGACCGCCATCAAAATGAATGCTCAGACTATCACCTATATATACTCATGGTAAGTTGACTTAAAAAAAAATTATTTATTTAACCACATTTTACACTTTCACATTTCTACACTCTACTCTATTATCACATTTCTACACTCTACTTCATATCACATTTCTACAAGCTACTTCATATCACATTTCTACAAGCTACTTCATATCACATTTCTACAAGCTACTTCATATCACATTTCTACAAGCTACTTCATGTCACATTTCTACAAGCTACTTGATATCACATTTCTACAAGCTACTTCATGTCACATTTCTACAAGCTACTTCATATCACATTTCTACAAGCTACTTCATATCACATTTCTACAAGCTACTTCATATCACATTTCTACAAGCTACTTCATATCACATTTCTACAAGCTACTTCATGTCACATTTCTACACTCTACTTCCTATCACATTTCTACACACTATGATGGTGAAAGATCCATACAAAAAGCTTTTGAACACTATTGTTATTATTGATATAATGAAAACTAGCTTTTTTGCTGTTTCTTGCTAGCTTCCTCCGTAATCCGTACACATAATTTAAAACTTATTGCACAGGACATGTTAGTTGGTTTTCACGTTCTAATTGGACATACATTCCCCATAGCATGATTTGTAATAAAAATTGTAATTCTGGAAATCTTTATTAATAGAGATACTTATCCTAAATTTTTCGTAGCATATATCAATGTGCACCTGGTCCGACTCATCCAAAATGTGTCATAGAATATATCAATGTGCACCTGGTCGGACTTATCCTAAATTTGTCATAGAATATATCAATGTGCACCTGGTCCGTCCCCTGTTCTTAATCTGGCACTCATTCAACTGTTTGTTTTGGCTGTGTACCTATGGGCACAGTGTTTTACATTGTTACTTGACGTGTTTACCAACTATGATAGAGCATAATTAATAGCGGCTGTCGCCATTAGTCAAACAATGGAGTGAGGTCTAAGTCAACTTGTTACATAAGTGGGAATTACACACAATGTCACGGAGACCTTGTGTACACAGGTCCCCCCCCCCCGGCCCCAAAATCCAGGTTCGACAGTCACACATGACACCTGTGCCCTTATTTACATAGATATACCTTTTAAGCTTCCTAAAAGCCAGGTGTGAATGAACTCCCCCACCCACCCACCCCCCACACATCTACGCCCTATGTAACCTAAGCCTAAGGTATGACTAACACACAACCTTGTATTTTAGGGCCCGCTACAGCTTTAATTAATGGTTGGGTCGCTACTGTGCCATAACTTTAAAAGAATTTAATTTTATCATCACCTTTTAAACATAAACTTGATTCGCTTCATAGTATAAATTGACATGCTGGCATTAAAAAAAAAAGAAATACAATAAATCATTAAATGTGTAAGATCAACAAAGAGTCCCCAGGAATTTGTTTAAGGAAACAATGACCAACAAATCACCTCCTGCCCCCCACCCATCCCACCCCTTGTCTCTTTATGCCCACGGCCTTTCACAGTCCGCCACCTGTCATCTGTGTTGTTGAATTTATTTTCAATAATTCTTTTTTGTCGGTTGTGACAAAAGGTTCACACAACACTCGCCCTGGACCTATCCTCCATTCTTAGTTTTCACACCTGGTCTTCTTTTCAAAGGCTGGTTTGTTCTACAACAGAACAAAAACAACCTTTTTTTATTATTATTTTTTTAAATTTTAAAGTTAGTGTTTGTACCATCTATTTTGGGAAAATATGTTTTGGTGACTATTCAGTCTAATAATTTAGAGACGATTTTCCCCACCACAGTCCATCTCCGCAAATATGTTTCTAAATTATACAAAAGTAGTGCGTAGAAGGCAAAAAATCCCTGGACGAAAGGCTCGCTATAGTTCATGAATTGAGTGGGCTACAGTCCAGACCCCCACAGCTGCGCTTAGATTGTGGGAATGCTTTTCCCTCGCCAGACAGACTGGCGCCAGCTCTCGGCAGGCAAGGCGGGACTTGGCTCGTCTGCTGTTGAACAGGTGTTCTTCTCCGTGCCCCTCCCGCCCTAGATATCCCTTTCATCTCCGCTCCCCAAGTAGGCCTACGCGGCTCCCAGCCCCCTCCTATTTCACGTGAAAAAAGGCAAACAAGCTGTTCTATGCTGATAGTCTTGTGAAAATAGTCGTACGTTTGATCACTGTCAGCTGCCTGTGCTATTCGGACCAACGTCAGCTGGTTACGATAGGACTATCACGTTGGAGGGGTAAAATTGTGTACACTGCGGGGTAAAATTGTTTACTCTTACAGATGTTGATGAAGTACTGTAACTATCGCATTGGTGGTGTAAGATCGTTCACCCTTAGTTCCTGTCATGAAATATTGTGTAAACCATCTTCAACTCCTTGATAAATAATTTTGAAATAACATTTCGATACATGTCCGGGTTGCAACCCCCCCCCCCTTTTCCCCCCAAACCGNGGCTGTGCCATGATGCAGTCTGCTCCTGGCTGCGAATGTGATCACTTTTTTTTGCGAGTAGCTCGTCTAAAAGCATCACATCCTGGAGATGACGGGGTGGGGCGGCACTTGCTGTAATCAATTATCTACATCGGGGCTAAACCTGTTTCCGGCACAGAAGAGCGGTGCTGCACAATTGCGCATGTTTCCAAACTTTTTAAATTTGTCCCGACACTTGTGACGCACACCCACAGCGGTGCTCGGGTTTCCCTGTTGAATTCGGGGAAATTGACGGAGGTGGCTGTTGTCTACCAATGGCATCAGCGGGCTGTGAAAACCATGGGCGTCGCTTAGGGGGCTGGTTTAGGGGTTAGGGAACCATGCGTTGTTTTGTGACAGTAAAGGGCAAATAAATTGTCAATGCAGTAGCAGGTTATTAGAAACTATTTCTATCAGAAAACACTTTTCCATTTTCTGAAAACAAATGGAACAAACTGTTTCCTAACCCAAACGAATGTATTTATAAAGCTGCATCTGGTCATGGGAAATCCCACCCGCCCCCACCCCAATTTATAAAGCTGCATCTGTTCATGGGAATTCCCCCCCCCCCCCAGGCATCATACACAAGGATGTTATCATTTATGTGAAATTGTTATCCCTGGGCCGATGTGTCCTCTAATCAGCGGCAGGTGTGGTCCCCAGTTTTATTACTCGTGAGCTCGCGCCGCGTTGAATGTTCCCAACGCCCTTTCCTTATTTTGGTTAATCGCCCAATACTGACATTACGCCCATGGGTGTCGTAGTCTATGTGAGTGTCGTAGTCTATGTGACGCCCCATGGGTGTCGTAGTCTATGTGACGCCCCATGGGTGTCGTAGTCTATGTGACGTCCCATGGGTGTCGTAGTCTATGTGACGCCCCATGGGTGTCGTAGTCTATGTGACGCCCCATGGGTGTCGTAGTCTATGTGACGCCTATCAAAACACGCTCATTGTTTTTGAACATACGATTAATTATTTTTGACAGCGTTTCTCACAACACACCCCTCCTCACCCCCACCCCTCTTCACCCCCACCCCTCTTCACCCCCACCCATCTTCACTCACACCCCTCTTCACTCACACCCTCTTGACCCCACCCCTCTTCACTCACACCCCTCTTCACTCACACCCCTCTTCACTCACACCCCTCTTCACTCAAACCCCTCTTCCCTCAAACCACTCTTCACTCACACCCCTCTTCACTCACACCCCTCTTCACTCACACCCCTCTTCACTCACACCCCTCTTCACTCAAACCCCTCTTCCCTCAAACCCCTCCTCATTCCAACCGCTAATAATCTAATTTTCAATCTAAAAGATGTCAGATGTTATTTTAAATCTAAAAGATGTCAGATGTTATTTTAAATCTAAAAGATGTCAGATGTTATTTTAAACCTAAAAGATGTCAGATGTTCCATTCAAACACCCAAAAGTGTCTCACATCAATGTTCGCATTTCACAACCTCCGATAATTTGTCAGAGACACTAAGATATATCTCATATCAAATGGATGAAAACATGTAACGAACAAGTCTCGGGGCCATTAACATTTCACTACATACAGGTGCAGTAGGTTTTGCCAGGTGTTATATAAGTGATCAATATTATTACTTAATCAGATCGTTTATTGGTAAACTACGATCACTCACCTGCGTGTCACATCGCCTCGTGTCTTCTGCTTGAGTGTGTATTTGAATTCTCTTCCAAATTTGTTATTAAATTGTAATGTTAATTTTAATGTTTTTTTCTTCCTCAGAACCATGAAAGCAGCTGTGATCATTTGTACATCTAAGCTTACCCCCCTGGAGCCAGGCCTCAGCACCCTGCCCTAGGCCCAGGTATCACTGAAGGAGTTTAAGGCCTGGTCCTGTAGCTCACCAACATGGCAGTCATCTCTACGCAACACACGCCAAACCTCTTTATCTTATTTGTGTTAAAAATCTTTTGACGACCCACCTACCTGGATATTCTCACCTGACGTCTGCTATCGAGGAATTGTTAAATGGAGAACTGTGTGTAACGTTTTGGAAATTCATCTTTATGTACAACGATGGTCCGACATTTGATTGGTCAGTTAAAAAGAAATCTTTTAATTTGTTTTACATTCCATGGCCATCAAGCAAGAAGAGGCCGAGATCAGAAGTTATCATACAACAATTTGGTTTCATAAGACACTAGACTGATCAGACAACATTAGTGTGTCGACACTGGACTGACGAGACAACATAAGTGTGTCAATGACACCAATGTCATTCTAGCATTTGTCATTTCATTGTTGAGTTTGTAGCATACGTCAGGAAATGGGATTTAAGGGCTCCATTACATTTCTGATATGTATTGAAAATTTCATGTCCCACCCACAACATCCCGTATCCCAACCTCAAAATACCTCAGTTGAAGCCACTGCACCTTGTGTATGCCAATTGGGTGCAGGCTAGTGACAACCTTTGGGATCAGGCTAGTGACAGTCATTTGGGAGCAGGCTAGTGACGGCTCCAGAAAAAGATGTACCGAATAGTTTGTACAATATCCCATGGAGCTTGCTGTACCACTGCAATCTTTTGCAACAAAGCTATTTACTCTTTCCTATTTTCCTATACAGAAAGTTCTTAAAATTTAAATAGCTGTGTATCACTGAATGTACCTGTATCTATTTTAATTACTGGTATCCAAATTTTTTATTTTTTTTTGGTTAAATTATAATTCTTTTTAGGTTTATACAAATTCTAAATTCATAGTTTTAAAAACCAGTTATTGAAAACAATCTAATTTTGAAAAGGCTACTGAGGTGACTTGTATTATATGAACACTCGCTCAGAGGTCAGCTCAGAATGTGTTGAAAACTAGTGAGTTTTTATATTTTGCTTATCATTTTGATATTGTGAATATTTGCCCTTAAATTACTAACCTGAAATGCTTATGAAAGAGAAAGGAAATCTCAGTACTTAAAAGACCGTTGTACATAAAGTAGACATGGAAATTAAATTTATGAACAGATTAACCCTCAGCTTCCCACCGACACACAGTTCTTGACTTCAATGTGTACTTCTTCTATATCTTAAGGGCCCACGATCAATTTATTGATCATTTTGGCTCCTATGGATGTGGATGGGATTTGCAATGTTTCTGTTGCTGGTGTTACTAGTCATTGGGTTAAAAATTAAATATCTTGGTCTTTATTCCAGTATATTTTTACATTGCTCTTTAATTTAAAATTGAAATTCACATTTTATATTTTTAAAAATTTTAAAGGATCAATTCATGGATTTTTTAAAAATATCACTACTTAAACTTGTCCAAAAAACTTGATAAATTTTCTTGTATGGCCATTTTGTGTGACGTGTGTTGTTAGATTTATAATTTAATCTTTGGATACCAAAAACAACTCCATATTTTATTTCATGGGGACTTACTCCCAAATACATGTGGGATTTGGAAGGGGGGGGGGGGGGGTTGGGCCAGAAAATTATCCTGACAATGACCAAATACATTACAGGGAAAGTGAAGCATCTTAACATGTACTTAAAATAACACATTGATAATTATTTGAACAGAACGCGCCATTGTGTGTTCCAAGTCTGGTCTGTTGGTCTGTGATCTTACCACCATGAACTGGAATACAAATGTTGTGTTGGGAGTGCTGTGTGTGTGTTCATGTGCATCATTTGTGTGTGTGTGTATATATATATATATATTATATTATATATGCTGTGCACATGTTAAACATTAATATCAAATTATGTTATACAAATAAATATCTTTTGACTGTGGTACAGAGTATTGGCCATCAGAGTGGACTGGATAAGAAACTATTGTCCTACAAGATGTGACAGTTTTAGTAGAGTGACAGGCAGGACATGTGATGATTAGTAGAGTGACAGGCAAGACATTTTATGATTGGTAGAGTGACAGGCAGTAATGTTCACTGTCACAAAGAAAGACTGACAAACTTACTTGTAAAATTGTTAGACGTTTAGCTCACATTTTTACCATAAATGTCTCCAATCCAGTGTCTGTTATATGTGGTCCAGTGTCTGTTATATGTGGTCCAATGTCTGTTATATGTGGTCCAATATCTGTTATATGTATATACTGAGTTTGAATGGATTATAGATTAATTCTTGTTTTTTTTTTTTTACATTTGTTTTGTATAATTTATGAAGATGTGACATTTTGATGGATTACTTATTTTAAAGATTTTGTTATAATAAAAATTGAACTTTGTAAACTTATTCTGAATTTTTGTTCTTTTCACAATTGTGGTAAGTTATCTTTGTTTTGGTACTTGAAGTTATTTTCATTTTGTAGGCTCATTGATGACTGGTTCAGGAGATTAATGACTGGTTTAGGACATTGATGACTGGTTCAGGACATTGATGACTGGTTCAGGACATTAATGACTGGTTCAGGAGATTAATGACTGGTTTAGGACATTGATGACTGGTTCAGGACATTGATGACTGGTTCAGGAGATTGATGACTGGTTCAGGACATTGATGACTGGTTCAGGACATTAATGACTGGTTCAGGAGATTAATGACTGGTTCAGGACATTGATGACGCGTTCAGGACATTGATGACTGGTTCAGGACATTGATGACTGGTTCAGGACATTGATGACTGGTTCAGGACATTAATGACTGGTTCAGGACATTGATGACTGATTAAGGAAATTGATGACTGGTTCCGGACATTGATGACTGGTTCAGAACATTGATGACTGGTTCAGGACATTGATGACTGGTTCAGGACATTGATGACTGGTTCAGGACATTGATGACTGGTTCAGTACCTACTGCCCTCGAAATACAGCAACATTTTTAATACTTATAATGTTCAGCACTGTGACGAAACATAAAACTCTCTTAAAGGAGTCATAATTTGTGGACCTTCACAGCAATTCACTATTGTCAGCTGCACACAACACAACTTCGGAACTCTACACTGGTAAACCCATGAGCTTCTCTTATTCTGTTGTTCCTTGCTTTGACTTTGATTGACAGGTGAAGGTCACATTCTCAAATGAACCCTTCCCTTCATCTTCTCATACCCCTATTCCGCCACTTAGTTTTTCAATGACCCAACACGACCAGGTGTCAGATATGCTGGGTCATCAGAAACGTGGTCGTGGTTAAGTTTGGAAATATCCCCTGGTCAGTAATGTACTTCTGGTGTCCATAACGCAGACAAACCAAAATGTCCCATATTTGTATCGGTACAAAGCTTTCTAAACAAAAGAACAATCCTTGGTGTACTACGATTGCGGTGTGATGTGAGCTCTACCAGTGAGTTGAAGTAACTTGAAGTGCAGTCAGGCCTTAAAGAGACCTAAGGGTTAGGTAAGTCAGTTAAAGCGAACAAAAGCCGAGTGTCCTGCCCCTCGCTCAAGTACCTACAGATGACACTTAGAACATCCGGATTCACCGACAACAGCTGTTCTCTTCAACACAGATTGGCTTCCCGGTCACGTGACCTTTGACCTCCCCCACACCCCAAACAAGACTCGTTGAAAACTGTAAGGGCTTTTGTCCTCTCTGGGAAGATTTTTAGGGGCTTTCAGCTCTCTTTCTCCTCTTTGTGTGTGAATTCAAAGTGTGATGGTATTGTCACACAAATCATGTCAGATTGTGATGGTATTGTCACACAAATCATATGTCAGATTGTGATGTTATTGTCACACAAATAACATGTCAGATTGTGATGGTATTGTCACACAAATAACATGTCAGATTGTGATGTTATTGTCACACAAATAACATGTCAGATTGTCATGTTATTGTCACACAAATCATGTCAGATTGTGATGGTATTGTCACACAAATCATGTCAGATTGTGATGGTATTGTCACACAAATAACATGTCAGATTGTGATGGTATTGTCACACAAATCATATGTCAGATTGTGATGGTATTGTCACACAAATCATGTCAGATTGTGATGTTATTGTCACACAAATAACATGTCAGATTGTGATGGTATTGTCACACAAATCATATGTCAGATTGTGATGGTATTGTCACACAAATCATGTCAGATTGTGATGTTATTGTCACACAAATAACATGTCAGATTGTGATGGTATTGTCACACAAATCATGTCAGATTGTGATGTTATTGTCACACAAATCATGTCAGATTGTGATGGTATTGTCACACAAATCATGTCAGATTGTGATGGTATTGTCACACAAATAACATGTCAGATTGTGATGGTATTGTCACACAAATCATGTCAGATTGTGATGTTATTGTCACACAAATCATGTCAGATTGTGATGGTATTGTCACACAAATCATGTCAGATTGTGATGGTATTGTCACACAAATAACATGTCAGATTGTGATGGTATTGTCACACAAATCATATGTCAGATTGTGATGTTATTGTCACACAAATCATGTCAGATTGTGATGTTATTGTCACACAAATAACATGTCAGATTGTGATGGTATTGTCACACAAATCATGTCAGATTGTGATGGTATTGTCACACAAATCATGTCAGATTGTGATGGTATTGTCACACAAATAACCTGTCAGATTGTGATGGTATTGCCACGCAAATCATATGTCAGATTGTGATGGTATTGTCACACAAATAACATGTCAGATTGTGATGGTATTGTCACACAAATTATGTCAGATTGTGATGGTATTGTCACACAGATAACATGTCAGATTGTGATGGTATTGTCACACAAATCATATGTCGGATTGTGATGTTATTGTCACACAAATCATGTCAGATTGTGATGGTATTGTCACACAAATAACATGTCAGATTGTGATGGTATTGTCACACAAATCATATGTCAGATTGTGATGGTATTGTCACACAAATCATGTCAGATTGTGATGGTATTGTCACACAAATAACATGTCAGATTGTGATGGTATTGCCACGCAAATCATATGTCAGATTGTGATGGTATTGTCACACAAATAACATGTCACATTGTGATGGTATTGTCACACAGATAACATGTCAGATTGTGATGGTATTGTCACACAAATCATATGTCGGATTGTGATGTTATTGTCACACAAATCATGTCAGATTGTGATGGTATTGTCACACAAATAACATGTCAGATTGTGATGGTATTGTCACACAAATCATATGTCAGATTGTGATGGTATTGTCACACAAATCATGTCAGATTGTGATGGTATTGTCACACAAATAACATGTCAGATTGTGATGGTATTGCCACGCAAATCATATGTCAGATTGTGATGGTATTGTCACACAAATAACATGTCACATTGTGATGGTATTGTCACACAGATAACATGTCAGATTGTGATGGTATTGTCACACAAATCATATGTCAGATTGTGATGTTATTGTCACACAAATCATGTCAGATTGTGATGGTATTGTCACACAAATAACATGTCAGATTGTGATGGTATTGTCACACAAATCATATGTCTGATTGTGATGTTATTGTCACACAAATCATGTCAGATTGTGATGGTATTGTCACACAAATAACATGTCAGATTGTGATGGTATTGTCACACAAATAACATGTCAGATTGTGATGGTATTGTCACACAAATCATGTCAGATTGTGATGGAATTGTCACACAAATAACATGTCAGATTGTGATGGTATTGTCACACAAATCATATGTCGGATTGTGATGTTATTGTCACACAAATCATGTCAGATTGTGATGGTATTGTCACACAAATCATGTCAGATTGTGATGGTATTGTCACACAAATCATATGTCGGATTGTGATGTTATTGTCACACAAATCATGTCAGATTGCGATGGTATTGTCACACAAATCATGTCAGATTGTGATGGTATTGTCACACAAATCATATGTCAGATTGTGATGGTATTGTCACACAAATAACATGTCAGATTGTCATGTTATTGTCACACAAATCATGTCAGATTGTGATGGTATTGTCACACAAATCATATGTCAGATTGTCATGTTATTGTCACACAAATCATGTCAGATTGTGATGGTATTGTCACACAAATCATGAGTATAATAAATAGCTATTTTTAAATTAACAATGATAAAATGCCAGTAAATGTTCCATCTGAGGCTCTTTTGGTTGACACGCCGAGACAATGTGTCCCGGTTTTGTTTTTTGTTTTTTTCTTTCTGACGTTAAATATTAAATCCATCTCATTGTTTTCACCATTTCAATAGCTCCAAGGGTGAGAGTCATGTGACAACTACAGTCATGTGACATAACCAAAGTAGGACTCAGAAATGAAGGTTAAGATCGGAGTTAGTGCTTGCAGCTAATCTTGTCATAAATTAATCATCACTCAGGCATCAATGACAACAGAGAAACTGCCCACCAGGACAGTTAGGGCTAGTACTGCCCGGGGCAGTTCTAGACTTTTTGCCAACCTCTTTACGACAAACTCTGTAGTCGGCCGAAAATGCAGACTACCCCCCCCCCCCCCCCCCAACGAATGGCTTACTGGTACCCCACTCTAGATTGTGTAGTAAACATTATTCAATCTTGACTGAATATTGCGTAGTAGCCCCATTCAATCATTGCATAAGGTTGTGTTGCATGCTCAATCAATCATTGCGGAAGATTGTGTAGTAGTCTTATTCAATGATTGCAGAAGCTTGTGTAGTATATTCAATAGATCATTGCTGAAGAGTGTGTACTATTATTCAATCATTGCTAAAGAGTGTGTACTAACCTCATACAATCATTGCTAAAGAGTGTGTATTAACCTCATCCAATCATTGCAGAAAAGTGTGTGCTAACCTCATTCAATCTTTGCAGAAGCTGGTAGTTGCTATTTGATCTTTGCAGAAGCTGGTAGTTGTTATTTGATGGATGCTGAAGCTGGTAGTTGCTATTTGATCTTTGCAGAAGCTGGTAGTTGCTATATGATCTGTGCAGAAGCTGGTAGTTGTTATTTGATGGATGCTGAAGCTGGTACTGGTAGTTACTATTTGATCTTTGCAGAAGCTGGTAGTTGCTATTTGATCTTTGCAGAAGCTGGTAGTTGCTACTTGATCTTTGCAGAAGCTGGTAGTTGCTACTTGATCTTTGCAGAAGCTGGTAGTTGTTATTTGATGGATGCTGAAGCTAGTAGTTGCTATTTGATCTTTGCAGAAGCTGGTGGTTGCTATTTGATCTTTGCAGAAGCTGGTAGTTGCTATTTGATCTTTGCAGAAGCTGGTAGTTGCTACTTGATCTTTGCAGAAGCTGGTAGTTGTTATTTG